ATGCGAACAAGTTAAGGTATAAATGGAAGTGGAGTTATAAGGGACATAGGAGAAATATGAATAAGTGGAAATGGTGGTACAAGGAGACGATGAGAAAATTTTAAAATAATTTAAATAAAGAATTAAATTTGGTTTTTGAATCCAGATATGTTCTATGAATCACATCCAAGATATATAGCATAGGACGAACAAGAGAAACAAAAAGAGGGAGATTGAGAGAGAGAGAGAGTGTGTGTGTGCACATGCATTAACAAAAGAGTTTTGATAGAGTAAATTTAGTAGTTCTTTATAACAGAAATAACCCCCTATTTATAATTTTTACGGGTATATATTGTAAAATTACAAGTTTGTCCAGATTTTAATTGGGTTGTTACACGATATTATATCACATTTTCATATTCATAAACAATCTTAACAGTGTTTCATATTCATAACTACTTTAAGAGGGACATCTAATGACCTTGGAGCCTTTTCTCTTGGACAGATGAAAGCCTTTGGCCTTCTGACAGTCATTTGATCGACCAAAAGGTTGTCGGTTGGCCATCTCAAGATTGAATTTTGAGGAGAGTCCCTCTTGTCGTTAGGATAAATCGGGTTATCAGGAAGAGGGTGTATTGTCGTAATCTGAAGGGCAGTTCCACTTGAGCAAGGTGCCTTCTCAGAGGATCGGAAAAGTGTTCTGTGGGGAGCCCTTTGGCCATTTTATGAAGAGTTCTAGAATTGGCTGAGAGAGCTGGTCATGAACAACTGCTCCTAAGATTCAACTCCTTCTATTTCTTTGGTCTACTATACTTATGTTCGGTCGGCTCAGAATTCCCATCGAAGAAAGTGACGTTTGATGTTTCAATCTTTTGACTATCCCGATGCACATTCCTTTTGTGTTCATAAATGAGATCCATTCAATTTCCTCGAGATTTTTGTTGATGTATTTTTTATGTACATAAGTGTGTGCAACCACACAAAAATGTAAATTTTTCTAAAATTAAAAAAAAAGACTTTGTTAGATCAATAGGTTGGTGGTTTTTGTTCCATTAAGATTGCCCTTTTGTGCCTTTATTATCATGAAGAAAAAGTTAGATGTCCAATGCAGAACATGAGGATGTGAACTTTCCACGTTGGAAATTAACATGTAGCCAACTATATTTAATTTTGTGGCAAGATAAATCTAAAAATTGTTGTTCTAATTTATTGAACAATGTGTGATTCATTCATTTATCCTGCCAAAAGTTAGTTAATTCAAAATACAAATAGTATGTATATATGTACATAAAAATGTGTCATTGTTTTTCATGAGGGATGTAATGATCCAAAAGAAAATACAACGACGAAGGATGGACCACTGACAAAAAACCGTGAGATCCAAGTATTTGACTGAGTGAAACTGTCCGAGCTAAAACCACTAACACCAAAGCCGATCAAACCATAAGATAGTCTGAAAATAACCAGAGGATACAAAAACTATTCATTCAAACAGAAACAAGGCAAAAAAGAAATTCAAGCCATCAGTCGTATGAGAGCTAATTCAAAGAAGATATAGCTCCCTAACAACTCCAATCATCCCAAAGACATCTAGAGGCCTCTCATCAAGGATTTAGGATCGACAATAGAGCCATATCACCTATCAAATTGATATGTGAAATTCATATATTTGGAAGTACTATTAGGGTTGCAAATGAACTGAGTGTTTGACAATTTTTTGGTGATTGAGCTCAATTAGTGTCATTTATGATCATTTTCTGAACTATTCAAATAAAATTGAACTCTTTTATAACACTTCATTGCTAATGATTAAAATTAAGTATCATATTATTCATTTCATTTATATTCATGAAGAATATCGTTTATAGCTCATGAATAAGTTTGTTAAAAAAATTGATTAAGGTTCAATTTTTGCTCAATTAGGATTTGTTCATGAAATGTATCACTTAAATGTTTATTTCTTATAATTTTGTTTGATACAACTCATTTATTTTTCTAAATAAGTTACTCATATAACACTCAAATAAGGCTCAATTAAGACTTGATTGTAACTCTTTTCTTTTGCTAAACAAACTACTCGTTAGTTACTTCAATAATGTTTATATAAACCAAGCTCAAGTTGAGCCTGAGCCGAGCTTGATCCGATATTGACAATCAGGTTTGAGCTCAAAACTCATTCCTAAACCTCAAATCTAACTCTAGCTCATTTTTATAAGATGAGCTCGAGCTCAAACAAGTACCTTCTTGGTTTGATTTGTATGATAATGGGTTGTAATTTCTTTAAAATATTTTATAATAAAATAAAATTTTAGTGAATGAAGAAAATAAGATGATAATTTCTTAAAATGGTAAGCTATATTTATTAGGCAAAAAGAGCTTTTTTTTTTAATTTGAGAGGCTCACCAAACATTATATTAATAAAAAAGGTTGACTACATGTAAATGAAATAAAAAAATAGAAAAGTTTAGAGCATAGAAGAGCTCATGTAATCCATATGCTCGGGGAATCATGGAACTCCATCTAGGTTACACATAAATATAAAACCAATCAAGGAAACACTCAATAAAACCACACATGAAGTAGATTCTAACTAACAGAAAAAGCTAGCAGCCTGAGAACCACTACGAATGTAAAGAGTGACTCTATAACCAATTAGAAATAGTGTTGAAGGCAATCTAATACAACAACTCTAGAGGTAAGCAGAAACCATATTGATTAAGAGAACGAAACAACAAGTTAGCAACAATCACTTAAAGTGAAATTATTCAAACATTAGATATATTCTCTATAACTGTTGAGTCACAATGATAAAAAAGGAAATCATCATAGCTCAACAAAATCAGAAAAAAAAGAGACATCAATGTCCAAAGATGACAGATAAAGCTAAGAAAACCCATTTAGTAAGGTTGTCAAGTGTGGTATCTGTATAGTGTAAAAGCTCATCAAAGCATTTGATCAAAACCACCAAAAAGCGACATCAACATTCAAGAAGTAACTACCATTCATGCGAAAGGGCCAACAATTGTTATATCATAATAGTGCAATATGACCATTTTCTCTTTGACCAACAAAAACTCATAGCAAGTTCATATAAGGAGTCACTTAGCCAAAAAGAGCCTCTAACCACAAAGTAGTACAGACCGAACAAAGCAAGAGGATATCTTCATATTTTACCAAATCAACATAACTTAAGATATCAACCATCAGAAGGCATCAAACCCATATCAGGTGACCACCAAATGAGATGTAAATGTACTATAATTGTAATATGAGATGGTTGAGCCAAACAAGCCACAAAGTATAAAAAATTAGAGAAATAACATGTCTAAGAAAAGTTGACCTAAAAAAAAAACATAGAATGAGTACTCTAATGCAACATTAAAAAAATCGCTTTATTTTTAACTAATCTACACATAAATTTTAGTGTTTTTACAATTAAATTTACATAATCGGACCCAAAATTTTAATATTATGTTTTGCGCACTCTGTCTACTTCCCATTTGAGCTTTCGTTTTCTTTAGGATCTGTACCAACCTTCGAGACATGGTAATGGCGGTTGCAAGGTATCACCAAACTCCCCTTGATGCTTCTACCGGGTAAAATATCTGCTGAGGGTGAATTCGGTGACAAAAATAACAATGTGAATGATGAAATTGACAACGAGAACGAAGAAGGAGATGGAAAAGGAAACAACAAAATCGACAACGGAATGGTTGATGAGGAAGATAGGAAGGTCGACGAGGGTGACAAGAACGACTCACAAGCTTTTGAACTTGATGTTGAGACGTTGTAGTTTGTGGCAAAGAAAGTTGCAAGCCATGTGAGTTTTCAAGAGGTGGCAAATCCTAACAGTGTCTTCAACATCTGCTTTTATGTCACTGACTCCAAAGAAGACTCCAAGTTGTTGAAATTATGTTCACTTCTCTGGTGGTGTGTTGGTTGTTCTGCATTATGTGAACGCATTTGTGGAAGTTGAGAAGAGCACGATGTTCTTGGCTTTGGTTCCCCTTCATGGTGACGATACAAAATCCTTATCCAATGTTGATTTCTATGATGGCTAGTGGTGCAACGACTTGTGACAACTACAACCAGACCACATGGATGGCCTTCTTCTCCTTTTCACCTGTACTTGTGGATGATGAAATTGGTGATGGGAACTAAGTTAACTTTGCAACTACATCAACTACAACATCTTCAGATTCTCCATCTGGTAAAGTAGATGATAAGGTAGAAGTGGGGATAAAGCGAAGTGTGTAGCCCGTAATAATAAAGTATCAAAGATGAAATACATTAATTTTACTGTTTCACGCACGTGATATGTTAAAACCGCTAAATTTTATCTTACAACTAAAATTACCCATTTATATATAATCTAAAGTTACACAACTTCCTTAAACTCCCTTCATCCGTCAAACCCAACATTCAAACCATTTTAGTGGTGTAGCCCACGTAGTATTCAAATTTCTCCACATACAACTGCAAACCATCATTCTCACAATCATTCACACTTATGGCATCAACCCGAGCTTCTAACAAATAAATCTCTTCCTGAACTTTAGCCCATTGTGTAATTTGATAGTCCAAAGAGCCAAGATCAAATAGTGCAATGACTAGGTAAACATTGTCAGGATACCGATGCTGAAACTACTCTTCTAGTGGACCTTTAATAAATGCTAAGGTTCTGGGTATGCTCTAACCATGATAGTGAATATAGCAACAGAGTTAGAAATTGGGTCACTAGGGTTTCATTTGTCATCCCCAAACCTCATAATTCTAAGTTCATCCGCCAACCTGCTTATGCCCAAGTGCGCTACAACTACAACCAAAATCATAAAGATGAAGTAGAGCCACAAAAGGATGAAACTGTGGATGCGTGGGTGATGTTAGTGCAAGGTCTTATATCAAGAATTGAATTAACCGTCAAGGCCAAGTTAACTTAGAAAACTAAAATCAACCATACAATTTAATAATACCAAAAAATTAGGTCTTTTGGGAGACCTTAGATAGAAACTAATAAAGAACAACCCGCAATGCTTCACCGAATGCCACCCACGCACCCTCGTCGCAAGCAGCTCAAAACTGCTTCCACATGAAGGAAACTCCCTCATTCTGTATCCTCTGATGCCCACCCCGCTCTCCTTCCCGACGGCCATGTCACCGACCGCCACAGGTTCCCTGTACGCTCCTCCTCCTTTCTTTCCCGATGCCGACGAACCAGCGGCGTGGTACGGCAACATCCAGTACCTCCTTAACATCTCCGCCGTCGGTGCTGCATCCTGCCTCCTCCTCTTTCTTTTCGTCAAGCTCCGCAGTGATCATGGCATCCCCGGCCCCGCCGCCCTCTTCACCAAGCTTCTCGCCGCCTACCATTCTACAGCTACCCAGATCGCACTCCACTGCGGCGCCGACGCAGCCCAGTTTCTCGGCATCGAGCGCTCAAGCTTCATTGTCTTGGCTTCTCTCTCCGTGATTGCAATCGTCTTCGCCCTCCCTCTCAACCTCTGCGCTGGCGATGCTCCGATCGTGGATCAGTTCACCCGCACCACCATCTCTCACATCTCCGCAGGTTCGTCCCTCATGTGGCTCCACTTCATCTTTACGGTTTTGGTTGTCGTTGTTGCGCACTTGGGCATATGTAGGATGGAGGATGAACTTAGAATTACGAGGTTCAGGGATGGCAGTGGAAACCCTAGTGACCCAAATTCTAACTCTGTTGCTATATTCACCATCATGATTCAGGGGATACCCAAAACCTTAGCATCCAGTAAAGGTCCACTGGAAGAGTATTTTCAGCACCGGTATCCTGGTAAGGTTTACCGAGTCATTGTACCATTTGATCTCTGCTCTTTGGACTATCTAACTACGCAATGGGATAAAGTCCAGAACGAGATTTCTATGTTAGAAGCTGGGGCAGATGCCAGAAGTGTGACTGATTGTGAAGATGATGGTTTGAACTTAGGGAGTGGCAGTCGTACGTGGAGAAAGTTAAATGCTGCGTGGGCTACGTTGGTGTCCATGTTGGGTTTGACGGATGAAGAGAGGTTAAGGAAGTTGCGTAACTTTAGGTTAGTGTTGGAGACTAAGCTGTTAGACTACAGGGAAGGCAGAGCTCCGGGTGCAGGGATTGCATTCATAGTCTTCAAAGATGTCTACACCACAAACAAGGCAGTGAGGGATTTTCGGACTGAGAGGAAGAAGAAGCCAATAGGTAGGTTCTTTCCATTGATGGAGCTTCAGCTTGGCCGGAGCCGTTGGAGAGTTGAGAGAGCTCCCCCAGCTACAGACATTTATTGGAACCACTTGGGCCTGAGCAAGCTCTCTTCAGGACTTCGTAGAGTGGCGGTGAACACTTGTCTTGTTGTTATGCTTCTGTTCTGTAGCTCACCCCTTGCAGTGATAACTGCCATGAAAAGCGCTGCAAGAATTATTAATGCGGAAGCCATGGATAGTGCAAAATCATGGTTTACTTGGCTTGAGGGCTCTAGCTGGTTTGCTGCTATAATTCTGCAATTCTTGCCTAATGTGCTTATATTTGTAAGCATGTATATAATTATCCCATCCGCACTTTCATATCTCTCGAAGTTTGAGAGGCATCTCACAGTTTCTGGGGAGCAGCGAGCCGCATTATTGAAGATGGTTTGTTTCTTTCTGGTGAACCTTATTCTATTGCGTGCTCTGGTCGAGTCCTCACTCGAAAGTGCGCTACTCCGAATGGGGAGATGTTACTTGGAAGGTGAAGATTGCAAACGTATCGAGCACTATATGAGTGCATCATTTCTGTCCAAGTCTTGCCTTTCTTCTCTTGCATTTTTGATCACCAGTACTTTTCTTGGAATATCGTTTGATCTGCTTGCACCAATACCATGGATAAAGAAGACTTTAAGGAAGTTTCGCAAGAACGATATGCTTCAACTGGTGCCTGAGCAGAATGATGATTGTTCCATGGAGAAGAACCCTGAAGAGAACGAGAGTGATAATTTAAGGACGCCTCTCATGTCTGAGAGACAAGATAGTTCAGTTCTGAATGGAATTGATGGGCATGACCTTTCAGTCTACCCTATTAATAGAAGCTTTCATGTGCCCAAGCAGATGTTTGACTTTGCGCAGTACTATGCTTTCAATCTTACAATATTTGCCCTGACCATGATCTATTCGTTGTTCACTCCACTTGTGGTTCCTGTGGGCGCCTTTTACTTCGGTTATCGTTTTATAGTCGACAAATACAACTTCTTGTTCGTGTACAGAGTTAGAGGCTTCCCAGCTGGAAATGATGGGAAGTTGATGGACAGGGTCTTGTGTGTCATGCATTTCTGTGTGATATTTTTTTTGCTGGCGATGCTATTGTTCTTCTCGGTCCAGGGAGATTCCACGAAGCTACAGGCTATTTTTACCCTTGGTTTGTTGTTCTTTTATAAGCTACTGCCTTCCAAAACTGATGGGTTTCAGCCATCCATTTTAGAAACAATGCAGACTGTTGATAGCTTTGTTGATGGTGAAACAGATTACGAAGTGTTCTCAAGACCTGAATTTGATTGGGATTTATATCAATCTTGAGGCAAAGACATGCCTCGTTGGTGTATGACTAGATATGTATTAATTGTCGTTTTAAAAGTTAATTTTTCATAGCATCTAAATTCTTTAATGCTGCAACACAAGCTCATCCCATATGTTTGCTGGGCGCAATATAAACTAAAGTTCTCCTCCATCGTGGGATTTGAACTTCTCTTGTTCCTTGAATCATTCTTAGCTTAAAGTTCTCAGTTTTGGAATCATACTCTTATGGACAGATTTAAAAAAAAAAGAATCAGCAGTAATACTGTCTTCATCACGTGATCTTTCACAAGCCGGTAGTCTGCATGCATCGTGCGGCCTTAATAGCGCAGTAGATATCTTATGGGAAGAGGGGTTGGTCGTTTAGTTGGTCATCTACCTCGAGGTTATTGCATTCCAATGCCCTTGTGTCTAATCTCCTTTTGTTTTAAAATTCAATACGTCAGATTTATTGTGATTACTGCATTTATTCCTCATTCCCATCTCTTTCGTGTTACATATTCGATAACTCCTGACATGGAGGTAAATGTTTTGGGAATGCTTATCTTAGAAGTACATCAACTTAATATCATTTATTTACTTGATTTGTGCTGAAATTATTACTTTTGCCCCTTTTTTTTTCTTTTTATGCTATTGATATACTTGAAAAAACCAGTCCTCTGCAATTGCTTGGATGCTGTCGTACTCATGTTAGATATTGAACTGGTTGCTGTGTTATGTTTGAACATTCTATTATAATTTGAATCAGAGTATTCCACCAAAATTGTTGTGTTAACCTATTATAATAGGAAATATTTTTCTTAGGGAAACTGTGTTCATTTTGAGCTTGTGCAGTACAATCATTAGCAAATATTATGCTATAATACAATGCAACTATGTGAATCGCTGGTTAATAGTGCAAAAGAAGTTTAAATGAGGCATCGTTGTATTTATGTCCATTAACCTTATAGTTGGCATATTGTAACCACTGTATATTTTTATTTGTTGGTAATTGATCGATGAAACTGTGGTGTTAGATATTCTGTTATTGAGAGTTTACTGGTATAAATGGACGTCTTAAGCCTGTGTGAAACTACTTGTGTTAGAAGTTTATCATTCTAGGGCTTTTAAAAATAATTTTAGCCGTCTCAGATACATTATTTTATAAGTTTATTGTAATTATCTATTTTAAATGAAAGTGACGCTTAGAGGTGATCAGAACAAAGTATTTGTGCAAGCTATTATCAGGCAAAGTTTTATTGTTGACTATATAAGCTTGTGTAGTCATGTGATTGAAAACCATCCTTTTAATTATTTTGAATTATTTCTCTTGCAGACTTCTTCTGCACCTTTATGATCTTTAGTGGAAAAATTGTTGTTTGATGAAAGCATTTTGTTTTTATCAAAGTGAAAGCATTTTGTTTTTATCAAAATGCATCAAGGCTGTTGAACATTTATTTGCACTATTTATGATAAATAGCTTAATATGATCGTCTTAGTGAAGAAACCTTAGATATTTTGGAAACTGAACCTGGTGTATGTTTCAATCCATGGGAACTATATTTTGGTTATTTTCATTTATGGTAATGTTTTCTAATTTCTTGTGTACTAGTACATCAATTAGAGCGCGCTTAATGGTTTGTTATAATACAGAGGTTGAAACTTTTTTTGATGATGCTGATTTTTAGAAGGCAGGTTGGTGGGATGATTACTTGCTTTTAGTATAGTGTGGAGGTAGTGATGGATGACAAACCTAGATTTAGGGTGCCTAATTCAAATAAATAATGCAATGTATTGAAATGAAAATTGGATTTGAAATTTATGGTTTAAAACATCATTAACCAAAACAAAAAAAATGTCTTCTTTTGATGTAAACGCACAATAATGAAAAATAATAATGATTCTTCAAATTAAAGAAGTTGAATGGGAAATTTGAAACAAAAAATCCAAGATGCGATTTGAGTTAACACTCCAGGTGAAAAACCAATTTGATTAAAATCAAATATGCTAAAAAAAAAAATTATCAGATTACATAGAAGCAAAGGTTGCATAGAAAAAAAAATATTATCAGATTACATAGAAAAAAAAATCAAGTCCATATAAGTATAAGGATATTATTTTTCTTGGAAATTAATGGTTGCACTTGTCTCATGCTAGAAGGAATCAACATCTAATCAAACAGTTTAGATTGAAATGACCCAAATTTAATTAAGTCAAAAATCCTCTTACATGTATCAAGTTTTGATATGTACAATCATCAATCATCTCTATTGCTTGCCTCCAAATTCTTGGTTAACAAATTATCCATATAGACGTAAATGGACAAGCCATCAGTTAACTATGCATGTATGTTTAAACACACACACACACCCACCCACACTTATTTTTTGCTCAAGATTTAAACATGATAATATTAGTTTAAAATATGATGAGCTATGAATAAGTCAATGAATGCTCGTACTTCTAAACTACAATAACATAACGAAAAAGAAAATAAGATACATGTTAGTCAAACATTATAAATCAATATAAAAATAATTGACAATTTATTATTTAATTATGTCCATCTTATATATATTGCTTATATCCGCCATAGAAGTGACATTTAAAAGTGTATGAATTAAGATATGTCAACGTTAATTTTTTTTTTCAATTCACATGCACGATTACCTTAGCATCCCCAGTGAATACATAAACAGATGAACTCCATCAGTTAATCATGTATATTGAAGTATATTATATAATTCTTTTTATTCATATTTTACCTATTATTCAATATCGGTTTATTATAATTAGTATATGTAATAAATAAATATAAATATATCGTGAGATATATAACATGCATTTTGATCTGATCAATCATCTTAATAGTAAATCATGATCACATATGCAATATATTCCATTTAAATAACTATCAAATGCATTTAGTTTAGAAGAAATCAATGTTATTACTCAGAAATAAAAGTACTCACCTTAATAGTTGACGACTAGTATTTGCTATTTAACTCCATGAACTTTGATTCATTCAATCGAATGCTTATAATAGTGTATAAGATAAGTTAATTTATTTTTATGTATATTTTATTTTACTTTAATATGATTCCATTTAATTACCTTAATTACCGTGATGTTATTCATATATATATATATATATA